AATGAATCTAACCCTGGAGGGAAAAAATCAACAACAGCATAACAGAATTACCTAGTTGAAAAATTTTTTTAAAAAATGGAAAAAAAATTAATGAATTACAATCAGAACTATTAGACAACAAAATGAAAAAATTTACCTGTAAATGGATACCGCTTAGTGTATGTGCTATCCCATCTGGCGTGCCTATAATCATCGGCTGATGGGGACGGAAAAGTGTTGGTGCAACTGGTGTTTCTGGTGATTCCATTTGTTTTTCGTTCTATGACAAAAACAGGGACAAAAAAAAATAAACCTGATATCATAAAAAAGTAAATTAACTATACGAAGTATGTCAACATATAGTTAAGATCATCAATATGAATTTACATTACGCTTCTCTTTTCCATAATCCTCCCAAGTGCGTAAATATTTGTCTAATAAAATTTCAGCCATAAATTCACTAACAACAACACTAAGTGAGCATTCTATGCTAGACTAACATATCTAGATTAGATGGAGAAAAATTTATGAAGTATTTAGAGAGACTGAATGAAAGTGTTTGTACGGAATGAATAGATATTTTGATATTCACCAAGAAAGAAAATAATCAAAAAGTTTTGTGACATTGAAGGGAAACTTTTGCGACCCTCCAATCCCGTAATACTGACACCTCAGAGAAGGGGAAAAACAAACAATCCAGGTTAGCTGTCAACAACGGGAGAACGCCCGGCGGAATCAGTATTGATCTCAGCTGTATCGTTGACGATTTCTCGTTTCAGAACTCTGAATCACAACATGAAGCACAATAGTCATTTGCATGCATGAAGCCTAATATCGGCAGTTCTTTCGGCTGCAGGATAAAGTCGGGTAGGTTTCTCTGGGAATTCTCAGGAGAAAAATGATGGGTTCATATAATAAATGAATAAGGAGAGTGTAAAGATGTGTATCTTTGCTAGAAAAGAAAACAGCATCTAATTTAATATTTCAATTCTCATACTTAGGAATATAATGCCGAAATTATGAGGTTATCCGATAATCCATTTTTGTTTCATCCGGAAATAACTATGGCTTGTCATCTGGAAAATTGGTGTTAATCGTCAAATAATTTTCTGTCCAAACTATTCACCTATCAGTAATTTGCATACGTTTTTTATTTTCAGTTTGAAAATATAGTGAAATGATGCAATTCATGTTATTGTTCAGCAGGCAGGGAAAACTACGATTACAGAAATGGTATGTGGCATATCAGGATAAGGTAAGTGATAAGTGTTATGTAGTATACGACTGATGATAAGTGATGAGAGTAATGAGGTATACAAGATAGGTGGTTTGATATATGCTTGCTATACGTTTGTGATATTTGGTAAGATTGTTGATATACGATCAGATCAGTATTATATGATATGATTAGTAGTCCATGATATGCTTGGCAACATATGCTAAGATTAGTGATATTTTTGAATTTTCCTGACAGCAGGATATGGTGAATAATTTGTGCGAGGTTCATTATGTTTGTTGCGATGAGTGCATGAGAACATTGTATGTGGTGAGGTAAATAAAAATATGAGAGATGTATGGTTTCAAAATTATTCTTTCTTTCTTTTTTTTATGGGCAATTATCGCAGTAAAGTAGTTTGTCGATTCACCTGTTATTACAGTTGTCCGAATATTCACAGTATTCACTGTATTGTATCTTCTGATGTGAAATTCAAAGAAAAAAAAATCTTGTCGAATAGATCAACGGTGCAAAAATAAAGCAAGCAATGCCGGAAAAATAGGTAGAGGAAATTTAGGGAAATAAGTAAATGTAAAAATAAGCAAACTGTTTAATGGCAAGTTTAGGAATGTGATTTATTGATTGAACGAGTTACAATTCTAGCTACTTATAGGTGAAAAAGAAAATTACTCGAGAATTGGTTACGACAATTTTGGCTCGGAAACCGAAAATGTGTGCCTTTCTAGAATACAAGGACCTTAAAATTGTTTACAAAAGGTTAGCAATCGGGATATTAATTGGTGTAAACCACCTTAGTTAGTTTTCGTAGAAATAATTTAATAAGTTGGAGTTTATCTTTTACAGTGATTCAATCTCTCTTCTGCTGTTTCATGATCATACTTTTATGTTCTTGCTAGAACACTAGAGATAAAGTTATGGTTTCAATCCCTGTTTATTTTACTGTTTGGAAAGCATTTCTGGATTCTGAAATTGTTTCGACACTCCTGAATTCTTGATATATTGAGGTATGCATCACTGTATTTTTGTTGTGCAATTGAGCAAACAGACAACGAATTGTTATGTCTAGAAATTATCCACCGATTTGTTGAACTGCTGGATAAGTATTTTGGCAGTGTAAGTTCTTACCGTCTTCATCCATTTTTTTTTTTTCATTCCACATTTTATTCGAAATTTTTATTAATTCGGAAAGTTAATATTCGAGCAGTGCGCACTTATTTGATTGGTTTTTGATTTCAATTCATCGTTAGAAATTTGCACAATTAAATGTCAAAGTTCCCACACAGTGGAGGAGGGAAAATAATAAAGGGTGAAATGAAGTGAACCTTGAACTTTCTCATGTTTTATCAGTTTTATGATTGCGAAATCTGCAGTTGAGATTGCGAGATTTGAAAATCTGTTCTTTTATGTAGTACATAAGCTAGATCTTGCATTTTCATCTCAGCAGAAAAATGCGCTGAAATTTCTTGGCAGGCTGTTCATATTAAAAATTTTGTGATGTAGCTTAAGTTTTGCAGGTTTGCGAATTAGATATTATTTTCAATTTTGAAAAGGCATATTTTATATTGGATGAATTCTTGTTAGCGGGCGAAATACAGGAAACAAGTAAAAAGCAGGTTCTGAAGGCAATTGCTGCTCAAGATCTCATTCAGGAGGTTTGCACTGCACTTTCTTGTAGAAAATCCACGTCGATTAATTTCTTTGGAAGCAGCTATTCTATTTCTGTGGAAGATAAGTTAATGACAGTGTTGGTCCTCTCAAATGATCACACTAGTGATGGTTGTCAGTATTTCAATATGCTTAGACAACGAAGATTTTCATTCGTTACCAACTTTAAAGATTCGGTAGCTTATTATTCAGTACAATTAATCAGGAGTCTAGACAGTCTTGGTAATGATGATTAACTTGCAGTCAATTTCTGATTATTTTAATACCTACTTATCTATGCAAGATATTTATATCTCAATTTTAGGAAGAAACACCGCAAGGATTTTTTGAGGACCACGGCCTTGGTTAAGAGAGGAAATGTCACCTGTGTCATGTTTCCTTCCAATGAACTGATAATATACGTGTTTCTTGCAGTCTATCCTTGGGAAAATCTATGCTGAGTGATTTTTTCATGTCATTTGTTCGAGATCTTTGTAATCACTGTGATATTTTTATCATAAAAGGGCCGAATGTTACCTTATATTTTGATTGTTATGATTTTTCATTCAGCAGAGTAGTAGGAACAAGAGTATAGCCGTAGAGATATATTTATTTGTCAAATAAGACGATTAATGAACCCGGAGATTAACCAAAAGGTAGAGATCAATATCGTATGTAGTGTATCGAATAGTGCGGATCGATAGCATCAAGAACATTGTATTGCAAACCAATTATCGTATTGACTGATTAAGCTTATAAAATATTTAGTTTGGTAGAAAGCTGTTTGAATGATCTTATTTTTCAAATTTCCATCAAAAAATTTGGTTTTCTTCTTTGTATTCTCTGCATCATAAATTATCTCAATAAATTTTCATTTTACGTAAAGAATTCACGAATGTATTGCAATGTCTACATGCGTTAAATAATTTATCCTAAAATGAGTTGTTTTGCGCTCTCTGTGCATGTAAGTTTTCTAAATAAACTCCATCATCTTCCAGGTAATTATCCCTTAAGTGTGTATTGCTAACTGAATTCTTACTGATCGCAGAAATTTGGCAATTGTCATTATTTGTTGAGAATTACATTTTATCAAGTATTGGAAGCGAATAGGATTAGGAAATAACCGAAAAATTTTTTAGGATATTGGAAAATGAGGCTGAGGTTTTGGTAGTAGTATCATAGAGTAACGGTGATGCTCATTATTGGTGATCGAGTTGAAGTTGGTGGTGATCGGGGGACGATACGGTATATTGGTGCTGTTGAGGGATATGATGGCGAATGGATTGGTATTAATTGGGACAATTCCGAACGAGGAAAGCACGATGGTTCCGTGAAAGGGAAGCGGTATTTTCAAGCAAAGTTGGTCATTTATTGAAATTAAACCTATTCATTACTTAAGCATTTTCCCCTTAAATAACTGGATGCCTATATTTGTATGTTGATAAACAAATTATAATTAGAGCTTCATTATATGATTTTTATTCGGGTCCTAATCCAATTCTTGTGAATGCAAAAAGAAACAGTAATAATTATGAAGAAGACGTAATGCAGAAGAGATGCTGTAACCGACGAAATTTTACAGTTCCGCGAGGAGTGGTTCATTTGTTCGATCCAGCGCGGTTAATGCAGGGAAAAATTTGCTCGAAGAAATGAGTAGCAGATATATCAATTATATGCAATGTGATACGGTTGAATTTGGTTCAAAAAGTGTGGATCTTGTGGACATGGCAAAAATATACAAAAAACAGAAGTCTGTTTTGATATTGTGCTAAAACCTTTTAATGAGGATAAAAATAAAGGATATAAAAGTAGTCTTGACATGAATACCTTGAAATATCTACGATGAAGACAGTAATTATAGGTAGTATTGTTGGTCATGGTTTTTCCGGAAAGTTCATTTATCTTGCTTCATTACAATATAATCTGAAGGCGTGCTGTGTTGAAGGGTGGGATGGTCTGATTATAAATAAAGCTTGATAAAGCACTTTTTAGATGAAAGTAGATTTTAGTAAGATATACCGATTATTTCCTTCTTATAGTACTTTTTTTGCAGCAATCTGTGGGAGTTACGAGTTATTGTATTAGATAACATGAAAGTTGCAAAAGCTCCACCAACCAGTTGTGCACTTTTCGTGTATTGTACCGAACTTAACCTCTACAACAATTTACTATCACAGTGGTGTGATTTGTTGGATATTCTCTGCTTCTTCCCGTCACTGCGCTTTCTTATTGCAAGGTTACTTCTTTCACTTAGTACTTATGTCAGTTTCAGGGTCACAGCATTTTATTTTTGTTTCTGATTGCCATTACATGTAATAATCTTTCACAATGCTGCATTTCAAATAATACTTAAGCAAGAATATATATTCCGAATATATATCCCGGTGTTAGTTAGTATTTCAGTGTTAATTTATTAAGGAGTGTTCAGTCCTTCGATAATGTGATTGAAAAAAGAACACGCTTTGCAACATAAATAGCAATACTGAAAAATGAGTTGAATTGAGGTGCAGCAAGTTGTATCAACTATTAGTAGAGTAATAAAATTTTCAGCCACAACTATATGGAGAAGGAAATGAAATCAGTCGTTGATGAACGAATAGTGTCAGCTCCAGTCAGTACTTTAGCACTTGGTGAATGTCGTATTGATGAAAGCACGGTACTATTTCTTTTAGGATTGCATTCATTAATCAAATATTAAAGTTTTTAGTATTTTAAATCACGTTATTCATAAATAAACAGTTGCAGTTTTTCATGCGGTATTTTCAGATTTGTAATATTATATAGATAGATAGGTAGATGGATGGATGGATAGATAGAAGATAGACACATAGATATCCAACTACTTTAATATTTCACACAAAACAGATTTAATTCTAGGCACAGCAGATTATGCATTTTTTCCCGCATGTACGAGAAATTCATTTGAATCAAAACGATTTGAAATACTTTGATCCAGGAAAATATGGTCATACTTTGGAAAGCATTGATTTGGAAGGAAATCCAATCAGCGACTTTAGCAATCTTCATGTTTTGTCGACTTTACCGAAGTATTTGTTATGAAAATTATTTCTGTGCCAACTTCAATCAATGGTTTTCGACGTAACACGTTTATATTTTCAAAATATTGTCACCAAATTTAATTTTAGCCTTCGAAAGCTCAATTTGGTCAGTTGCGGTCTCCGTCACATCTATATTCCAGATGGCATTGCATTCAGTTCACTGTCTTCGCTCAACATTAAAGGCAATCCTATAAAAGATGTGAGCTCGTGAAACGGTTTTTTTTTTCGCTGAAGCATTTTTAAAATTATATCATTAAATACGTGAAATAAAAAAGTATGAAGAGAGATCAAAAAAAAATCATACTGGTCGGTTCTGCTTTTCAGAAGACAATTGTTTTGCTAACTATATGTGAGAAAATTAATCGACATTTTGTATCAACTGCGGCATGTTTGTTAAGGTTTTTAAGGTTTTTCACGCTTTGGCGTCCTTTAGCAATGACATTTTAGTAATCTATAAATATCAATAAATTCTGAATGCTAATGCCACAAGTTTTCGTTTTTAGAAACAGTGGATTTTGGAATTGGCAAAACTCCCAAAACTAGAAAGACTATGTTATTCTTGTTCTGATAATGATAATGTTGATTGCGGAATTGACCTTCGCGAAATCATTATTGCCAGCATACCTCAGCTTAAATTCTTGGGTAACTCGGAAATAAGTTCTATCGAAAGGCATTCTGCAGAGATGCATTTTCTCAATAAATTCGGTGTATCTCCGGTGATGGAAGAGAATCGTACTGTTGTGGAAAGGTAGATAAAATTGAGAAGATATAACACTTATATGTTTGTAACAATCAAATATTACGGAATTTCTTTTGCGGGAACAGAAATACAAAGGTTTCTACATGGCAATTAGGGAATATGTCATTTTTTGCATAACATTTGTATTTTTGAACTGAGCTTAACTCATGTTTTATTTCTTACATGAACAAATCAAGGATATTAAGCAGTAATCTTGTGTTTTTAATATAGATTAATCAAAGTACATGGCGAGCCAAATGATCTTCCGCTCGTACCTTGTGGTGGAATGAATTTATTGAAATTAAAACTGTCGTATGATGGGAAAGTCGTGGAACGTTCACTTCCTGGAACAATTACGGTACAAAAATTAATTGGTATTGTAAGCAGACTTTTTCATCTGGATGCCAGAAAGGTGAGCTTTGTTACAGCAGTGCTGAAATAGTAACTCTGTAAAACTTTACATCAGATGACATGAATCAAAAAATTAATGTTGTCTTCTTTATGGATGCCTTTTTAACAGAAGATTGTTTCTGCAATACTAAGAAAGTTTACCAGTCTGGTCATTTCGTACACCACGCGGACCAACTTTACAGTGTAGGGGAATTACAGTGGGTCATTCATTAATATCTTTTACATCAGTTACAATGGAAAAAGTAGGATTATCAAAATGTTACAGATCTCACTTCAAGCTTATGACTATCAAGGATTTATGATGAATTTGGATAAACCATTACGATCGTTAGATTTTTATTCATTGGCTAATGAGGATACTATTTATGCCAAGGTTGTGTGATATCCTCTTGTATAAGTCTTTACTTGTTAATTGCTTGTATCAGTTCTAATCTAAGGTTATGATCCTTTATGTAACAGAGAGCTGCTTATTTCTTGCAGCACATTTGGCCATTAATATCTTCTTTACAAGAAAGTTGAAAAATGAGATTTTCAGATAGCCTGTTTATAAATTTATGCTGGTGAAATGTAAGAATTCTCCAAATATGTCATTGAATAATCGTGATAGGATTAAATCTTTTGCATTGTTGAATATCGTGAACCTTTATACATTATTTTTGTTTTCACCATGTCAATAATAAAGATCGTTCTGTAATCTCGTGTTTCTCTTTCTCTACTGGTATATAAACCAATGGAAGTATAAGTGGATTTTGGAGTTATGTTTTAGTTTTGTTTAAGCTTTGACCAACCTTAATGTTTGTTTCATGATGGACGACTCAACAAATCGGAGGAAATTTTTTGCATTTGTTATTGAAGCTGGTAAGTAATTTCATACGATTTTGTCATTTAATATAATTCCTTGTAATTTCCTTATTATACTGTTATTTGGTTCCTCTTTCATGAAATATGATGTTAGCATGCCATAAGATATGGTAGGATGGCGATAGCGATAAGATTACATCGGAGTAGGGAGGATCAAAACTGATCCACAAGAAAACAGTATGCTTGTTAGAAGTGTTGACAGTGATACTTTTCTGTCTGAGTGACGGGTGTTTTCAATTCAGGAATTAAATTAGAAGCGAAAAATTCAACGATATGTACCGCTGCAGTTTTAACATATCGGACATTAAGGAAAAGTGGTGCTTCTGAATTGTGTCCTTATGTAAGTTTTATTTTAGTAGCTATTCAAGTTAAATAAATGAGTGATAAATCCAACTTAAGTCGAGAAAATTAACCGATATCTTTTGTCAAAATTTTTAAAGGTAAAGAAGAAAAAAAGCATGGTCAATAATTCAAATTGGTCATGCCGTTTTTCTTCTCCTTTTGACAATGACTATGAACCAAACGTTAACTGCTCATGCTCACTGTGTTTTACTTCGAGGTTTAATAAAAATCGGAAATAATTGGAGATTTTGTATCGAGAAAGAAGTTTAAAAAATTTAAGCCAGTATCATTTACTTTGACAAATGCACGTAACCGGGTTTTGTTTTTGGTTTTTTAAAGATTAATTTTGAAGTTGAACTTGGGATATCCCTAAAATTGAAACCCTACCAGATGTTAATGTTCGAAAAATAAGGGTACAAAAGTAAATAACATTTCTGTTGCATATTTTTTTGTTACAGACAATCGCTTCAGCATGCCTTCTGTTGGCGGCTAAAATAGAAGAAGATGAGATTGTAAAAACACGAGACGTCGTGAATGTTGCTTACAGGTTACTTGATCACTTTGCTTTGATTTTCTCAAGACTTTCCGGTCATGACTTTAGTACATAAACCAAATTTCGGGTATCTTAGTTGTCAACTTTGGAGCTGAACCTTACTTTGCTACGTTATCTATCAGGCGTTATTAGTCGAAAGTCAAAGGCTTAACTAGATTTGCATTGAGCATACTACATCCTCGTGAACCAGCCCTGCAAATCGATGACGAATCATGGGCATTGCGAACGAGTCTTTCACGGATGGAATATATTGTGCTACGATTATTGAAATTTCGTTTAGCTGTGGAAAATCCTCATAAGGTAGTGTTTTTCCTTGGCGTTATGTTAACACGTTGTACAGCTACACGAGGGAGCTAATAAATTAAAGGTTACTGAATACAATTTTTTGTGACTTTGAATCTTATTTTTAATGGCAAGAAAGAAACATTTAAAAGGAAAAAATAGGAAATTATTCATATACTCATTTTGACACCTTTGATACCTTCTGTTGTTACTTTGGTGTTCTAATTTTTAGTATTTACTCCATTATATCTCCTCACTGATGCATTGGTGCCCACATGAATTTACGAAATTTCACATCGGCGCAGTATCATTTATTATATTGCGTGATGCACATGTGGATCCAGGTTGGGTACTTTCACACAGCCCACAAACTATCGCCATTGTATGTCTTGCAGTTGCTCTTCGTATTGCAAAGGTCATTTTTAAACTTCATTGTGATTGATGAGATGTCTACCTCCTGTCTTCAAAACATTGGGTAATTTGTCAACCGTCTTTTGGTTATCTTATGTATCTGATTCTTACAATCTACCCTACAATCTCAATTTAGTCGAACGTCCAGGACAGACTGCTTTCAGTAGTATATCTGTAGAGGACGTTTTGCCTTCGGATGTTTTTTTCTACTTGAAGTTTTATCAAATCTTACTTCTTGTAATTTTGAGGTTTCAATCGGTGTTCGTTGGTATTCCGTCTTCTACTCGTCAATGACAAAATCGAAGTTACGACGTCTGGAAGAAGAGTTGGTGACATTAGTTTTGAGACGATAGCAGCTCCCTCGAATGTCCACTGAATAACCTATTTATTAGAATTCCATTATTAATCTCTCACCCTGTTTTTGTAGTGAGCCTTTGGTATTTGTCTATTTCTTTAATATCTCCTTGAAGAGGGCATACATTCAATTTTTCTTTTGTGATATGAAACTCCTTCGAAGGATGAATTAGTGATTTTCACTTAATGAGTGAAGATATGTTGAGTTACATTCATGTTTTGAAAGCTTTGAATTCATGTGCTTCCACCCGAATTCTATTGTCCTTTGTTATGAGAACTTTTTGTTGAATTGCTGGTATGAAACGCACTTCTGCGATATGCGTTTTAAGAATTTTTGCCATTGATTAATTCAACTGGTTTTCTGTTTTTATATTCCAATAAAAATGTATACTAAAATATTTCATGTCTTGAACAATTATACTAAGCTAAAATATGATACTAGGCTAGATGATATAAATAATAAATAATTAGTTAAGCAGTACATTTATAGCTGTTGCAATGGACTTAAAATTACAGAAACTCTTGACGGTCATCAGTAATAAGAAATAATCTGATCCTTTAACTACGCTTTTGGTAAAGCTAATATCATATCTTAGTAAATCAAGTAGGATGAGACAGTTGTAGATCTGACAGAAAAAAATTGAACTTTGGTTAACATTACAAAAGAAGAATTAGAGAAGCAATGCAGTTTCGATGCGCTGAGGTTTTTATATACTGCGTTCAACAAGAAAAAGAAAATTTTGCTTCTCACAATTTGAAAGCAGAAATTTGCAAAAAAGCGTAACACAAGTGGCTATAGTATAACGAAATTAACGACCATTAAGTGCACTGCTACGTCGAATTGGTATATACTTTGGTCGTTCCGCTTCACCTTTCTTTTATCATTATGATAACCTTTTCTTGCATCATAACAAACAATAAGACTAGCAATTCTACCCAACTCAAAGTTCTTTTTTTCCTTTGGGATTCTTTTATTCATCAATCAACCTTAATTTCTGTAATGGCTATTTTAAAATAATCGTTAAGAATATTGGAAGTAATATTAAACCATGTATCATGCTAAAAATAATAACAAGAAATACTGTTTTAAAAAAGATTTGCACGATATATGCTTGAACTGTTGCAAGTACCAAAATACCAAATATTGTTGATAAAGCACCCTGAAATTTGACAAAGAAAGAAAAAACATGCTGATATTGGGTTATTTCGTATGTCATTTTCATTTCTAAACCTTACTGGCGTAAAAGTTATATGCAAATTTAGTGAGGTATATTGCATCCAGCTTCTATCAGCTCAGTGAATGAATTTGATTAGATGTGGGAGGATAATTCTATTATGATTGAAATTATGTAAAAACGAAGACGAGTAATTAAAATGTGACGAAATCTAAAGATTAAAGATAGTACCATAAAAACAGGCCATCCAATGGTTTCTAATGCACTGATTGCTTTCACATGTCGTTCTCCATTTGATTTCACATATGCATAACCGATATGTGCTGATAAATCAACGGCAAAACCAATGCTCATAATAACTGTTATTATTGATACACTATCTAGACGTACACCCCAGAATGTCATAAAACCAATTACACCTGAAAAAGAAAACAATTCACTTCTTTTTTTTTCTACGCCACAACAATTTGTAATGTTTAACATTTTAGATAATGTTACAGTAATAGATTAAGAAATGATTGATTGGTTGAAAAATATGAATCATACAAAATTTTAAAGATAAAGTTAAATTTAAGTATACAATTAAAATGCGTTTAAAACGTTTTAAACGTTCATCGAATAAAATGAGTAAATTATATTTTACTAGATTAAATTTCTTGAAAAATTCTAATATTTCTTTAACAGAATTCCAAATATTCGGATACATTTGTCATATTACCCCAATCAATCGTGAGAAAGGGATCATTTTATAATCTTATCCTTCCAACCGTTACCTATTTTGTGGAAGTAAAATTTAAGGAAAATTTAAATTTCAAACATTTAGTAAGCATTAGCGCGTTATGCTTTACCAACATACCAATATCAATGCTGAAGATTGCGAACGCAATGATAAATGCAGCTATCCAACTTGGAATCATGATAAATGATACGATAAGCATGGATAACATAGCTAACAGACAATTCCGAATTAGTGCTGGTTTCAGTTCAATATACTGCAAACAATCAACATCTTTACATCTCTCCCTACTACCTTTCGAAATTCAAAATCGAAATGTTTACAAATGTTTAAGAAAATGGAATCAAAAACAATCCGAATCATTGAATGCATAACCGAAAAATGAATTTGATGGATCAGTTCTGATAACAAAAAATTTCTAATAAGTCTACATATATCGTTGTATCTGATGCACGAGACAATGAGACAATCTCGGAAACCATCACGCTAATTGAATAACTGAATAATCTTAATAATTGAGTTCAAGTTCCTCAATTAATGTTATGTTATTTGGTCTCCATATGATTAGATTTTGCAAAAGGCTGGAAGACATAATTTCAAATTTCCTTATTTATACCTGATCTGCGAATGGATAGTATTCATGAAAAGTAGTGACATTGAATTTTGCATATTTGGCAGAAATTTTCCGCATCAAAATCGCACTTCGCATATGATCAGTTGGCGTTTTGTAATTTCGTAGTCCAAGTTGAAAACGAAATGCAAACAGGTGATTATAGGACTATAAAGAAAAAAAAAATCATTTTATGTAAGTTTGAAATTTCAGGTAAAAATATGACTTCAAAACAACACATCCTTTCTGGCTATCTTGAGATATTACAATTAGTCAAGACTAAAAAATGAAAAAAAGTCAAAAAAAACCTCTCAAAATTATACCTCACTTGCTAAAAACAGTATTTTTTACTGCTGAAGAGTCGCACACTTAAATTTTCAGTGAAACAGAAAATTCGGAATTCAGATGATAAAGATTAAACATCATATCGAAGTAAGTCATCAAAGCACTAATTAGATAAATGATGATGAATGATTAATGATGGCTTATTTTCACTTATACTTTATATATGTAAAATTTCGAAATGAACTAGAAATATAAAATACAAACCTAGTTTTGTATATAAAATCATATAAAACCTACTTACACAAAAATTATATAAAACTTTCATATAAGACCTACTTTCGGATCACTTTCATTTTTGCCCCAAACCATATCCTTTTCCCACAAACGTCGTCCACCAGCTGATATCAACCATTCACGACATCGTTGATACCATTTTTGACTTCTAAAATTGAACGAATTTCTTTTCGGGGATTTCTAAAACAGCAGACTTTATCTTAGTGTAATACTGAACTCAGATATACTGCTAAGTTAATTCTCCAAAAATCTATTTACTCATCGACAAATCATCAAGTGATTAAAACTATTACGGAATATTAATTTTGTCAGATATTTACGTGTCTGGTAATGGAATCTTTGAGAAATCATAATCCTCCTTGAGCTTTCTTTCATAAGCATCAAGCCATATCATTGTTGCATTATGTCGCATCGTATATTCTGTATTCTCGAAATCATCCAGCATATTCTGGAATTCTTTTCTTTCCTTCGGATTGAATAGATCAGGTGGTGAATTTACCACAACTTGCATCTGTAGACCTAAATCATTAAAGTTTATTGTGAATAATTAGAAACAAGATACAGCTTTATCATTCAATTCCATACACCATATCATTCAATTCTATTTATCAGAAATATTTATGAGAGAACAGTCATAATCGTTGATATCAATGAATTAACAACATCTAATCTCCTATCTTTCTTATATAATATTTCATTTCAAACGTTTGAAATTTCGTTTTCATTTATTATTTGCTTTTTATTTTAGAACAAAAAATTCAAAAATACAAATTTTAATAATAATGCATCTTTCTCACACAAAGTGATTTGATTTATCACTGATACATTCTTTCATACATTACACTTAAAATTAATTGACTACTTACTGTTATTTGAATATTAATCAGTTTTGACACATTGGCTGAAATTGATTTGAAATCAAATATGGATTTTAAATTCTCAAATGTTTGATTTTTTCCTTCCAATGATCTTCCTATGGGACTCATCTCAATATCTCTTTTTAATCATAAACACGTGTTTGTTAAAGAGATACATCAATATTTTTCTTCATCTTCTGCATTTCAACATTTGCTCTATCAAACTACTGGCGGTCAATAATTGCAATGACAAATAGTAATGAATCGAATTTAATCTTTTATTCGAAATTAATCAATTAATTAGACATACCTTCTTCCCAAAACGTTTCATCCATTAATATGTAAAATTTGCTGAGATAAAATGAATCCAAAACAAGGAATTTTGGATTCAAACCTTCCTCCAACATCGTACAACCCAATATTGCAAATGATAGATAGATGATGTAAATGAAAATAAAAACTTTCTTGGTAAAAGAATCAAGCAAGAAAGAACCGTAATATTCACGGAATATTTTTGAAATCATTGTTTCACGATGCTTCGATTTTGGTAGCTCCTAAATTGCTGAATTATTCATATATGCTATTATCAGTTATCAAGTACTTTTTTCCTAAATTTCCTATCAATTTCCCAGTTTTTGTTAACAATTTTATAAAATTATTTAATAATATCATAATCTATTAGTGATTTTTGATACTTCAATTTTAACACAATTAAAATTTCTTTTTCCTGTTTTAAATCTTGATTCATATTGTTTTGAGTCCCAACATTAGCATAACTTAACAAATAAGATTTCTTTTCCTCACAATCACGTATTGCATTAAGAAATGTGATGTAATGTATGTTATAATCTATTACGTATCTGAAAGACTATTTAGGAATATGTTTGTTTTGATGGTGGGCTCATATTATGTTACCATCACAAAGTAAATCATAATCGATTCGTAAACTTTGTCTCTTTGTTATCAAATCATTACAGAGAAATGACACTTGATAGCCTGATACACATAATCAGATATCGTATGACCTAACACTTGCAATAATTTTCTAAGTAATTAGAAATAAAAAGATGACAGAAATGTGTTATTTAAGTGATAATTTATTAACTCATGTCATGCTACCGCCATAAAATAAGTCATAACCGATTCGTAAACTTTGTCTTTTCCTTATCAAGTTATTTACAGAAAGATGCCAAAGTTCGGTTCGTGTTATCAGTTCTAATGGATTATTACTAAGAAGTTAATGTTCTATGTCATGAACACATAAGCTTTTCAATAATTGAAAGAAAAAAAGAAGCGCTAACCTTACTGAAGTTTTGTTTAAAATGTATAAATTTTTTATGCATTTTTTGGCTTAATGTTATTTTCACATCTTCCATCATCTTTTCATTTCTTGTCACATTTTCTTGCACAATTTCCGATTGTATCTTTGAGGATGTATTATTTGTTGAAATTGTCACCTTTGATGGCACACTACCCGTTAGGAATACTTTTTTAAATAAAGTATCTGAAACGAAAAAAAAGAAGAAATTTCAAGATTGCTTAAAAAGATGAGAATATTTTGCAAGCAAATCTAAATCTGAATTATTTTTCGTAAGAAAAAAAATAGGAAGAAAAACCTTCTAACCGGCTAATTCCTGATTGATAATTGGCTTTAATGTTATCGCATGCAATCCGTTACCTTCCCGTTTTCCACTATATGCCATAACAGCAGTGAAAAATGTTAATTGGTAAAGATAAGTGAATGTTATACCCATAAATGTGTAAAAGCAAAACATTTGTACACTTGGTAATGTTGTTAAACAGCCAATGCCAAAGGTTAACTGAAGAAACAAATGATAAGTTTACTGTAAATTGATAAGTTAGCAGCGATATTAATAAATACACCAATTTAGCCGGAATTATCATTACTTTAGATTATTTGAATTACTTAGTTGTTTGATATTATATTTCGTATTGATATTAAGATTAATATGCTTGCATAGTATACTGGATACAACGATGTACGGAATTTCTAGACCATAAAGTCATCATTAAATGATCTGTCAAAGTATTCCGTTCATTATAATAATATCATTTCGTTAGTAATATGACAGTCCATTGGTAAATCTTCACTATCCACTTACTTAATACTAACAGCTATTATCAGTGATGAGAAAGGAAGAATGAACGAAGATTAATACCATATCAGTAATTGTTGTTATTGATATTGCAACTGCTGCTTCGGCAAGTGATTCGGACAAACGATGTGACACATCCTGTTCAACATTGGTTCGATGCCAAGCTGCGCTCATTATAAACATATCGTCTACACCAATACCTATGTAATTATGGATAAATAATTAAAATTTCCTCAATCAACTTTTTCTTCTTCATTTGTCCTGTTTTTTTCTCAGTAAAATATCATACTTCAATATGCAAAATGTCAAAATATTTGACAGGATAAACAAATTTAATGCCTTCTGTACTATATCATTGATTAATAGTAATTAACTAACAGTGCCACTAACAGTGCAGATGTAAAAACTTTGCTAATTTTTGTATGAATTTAAATGGTTGCATTGGTTTCCAAATGATTGAAATGAACTTACAAAAGATGATAAATGGTGATACGTTGACAACAGCATTATATAAGGAACCCATCCATAAAATTAAACCAAATGCGCTTATAATTGCAAGTAAAGGACAAAATAAACCTAAAAATGTATAATTATCATTCTAATCATAATATTTGATCAAGAGAAAACATGCCATCTAAGTCAAAACGAATATGTCATCGTTAAGCAATTAATACGAGCATAACACCTTTAAGCACCGAGTATGTCAATTACGAGTATATCATCGTTAAGAACGTTAACAAAACAAGTATGTTATCATTAAGCAATAAATTTTTTCAATCCTAAAGTATTACTTCTTTCATTTGAAGTTTACGTACTTTTGACGGTGAATAGTAAAGCTATCAAACTGCCAAAAGTTGCAACACTCGACAATTTGTCCAAATTATGATGGAGTAATGCGCAGTAATAGTATTAAGTAACGTAAGTAAAGTAACAATAATAGTATTATGTCAATATCTACTTATGAGAAAAAATAAGGGAACCTTAGATGACGACAAATCACGTGAAAATTATTTAAAGCATAAGAAAGTTTTAAACCATTTAGGTTAAAGTAAATGATGGAAAGCTTTAAATCGTAAAACCACTGAGTAAATAAGACATTTGTCATTGTCATTCTAATTACAATACTTTATAATTGCTCATTAATAATTTAATAATTTACCCTTATGCTTAATACTTGAGCTTATAATTTAAATGGTTGGAGTAATACTTAAAGAATGAAAAAATTCATTGCTTATTAGTGTCATTACCGGCTATTGATATTATTATTGTTAGCCAGAACTAGTGAAAGACGAAATCAGTCTTACCGGCTAATGCTATTGCGGGTTTACTGCGTACCCAATCGATTGCAATAAATCCATCTTCATGTTTGTACAAGACAATAGCGCTTAATCCGCAAAGTGAAAATAGAACAATACAAGTTATTGCAAATTTTGGTGACAATGAATCAGCAACTTCTTGCAAACCTTCCGGTAAGCTTTCATTATGGAACATACCGAATTCCAAGATGTCTATAAAAATGAAACACCTAAAAACCTATGAAAAAATATTTCATGAGTGCATTTTTTCCTCATGGTTATAGCGTGTTGTGCAATAGATTTAGTGCATAGATTTCCGGGAAAACGGATATCAAACCGGACGGATTGTTTTGTTGCATATTAATTTCTGAAAAGTTGTAATTGCCAATTTTATTGGTTTTACTGAAGGGAGAAATGAGTTACTGTCATATTATTGTATTAAATACGTTCTTGATTGTTCGACTTGACAAACAGGATCCGGAAAATGTGTGAAGTGGGAAAGTTTAACATACTAGATGCCGGATTTTTGACGTTAGATAAGAAATCGGCAACCTTTTTGCGCCACAAATAACTGATATTACCAATTTTTTCATCCCGTACATTATATGTAAGTCTAATAGCTCGGACATAATTGAAATGACCTTCCTGAAAATGATCCTGCAATAGCATTCAATCCGGAAGCAAACATCTCAACCGGTAGAACGTAGCAATGATAATATAATCAATAGACTGATAGCTGTTATCTAGAACTTCTTGAGAATTGTATGTCGTAGTCTTAACTTAATCAAATCATTTAACATCCTATGTGATCTTCTTGGTTCATTTCGTTAATTGTTCCGGCTCTTTAGGACATTGGTCTAGGCCATGAGCTATACTTTAAGATTTGAATTAAACCTAAAGGTGAGGGTTAATTTTAAAAATTTGACGACATACTTCATCAATGATATGTGGTGCACCAATCAATGCACCAAAATAGATTGGTTCAGTTCCTCGCCAACCGATTGGATAAGTTATTTTAACCTGTAGAAAGTAACATACTCATAAAAAATCCAGATGTATGTCAACTGAAACATGGGTTATTTTACGTGTAACGGAAGTTATATGTATGTTGTAAAGCTTGGATTACTTCACGTGAACAGAATTCATCGAATATTAACGTAAAGCATGGATCACTTCACGTAAGTAGAAGTCGGACGTATGTTTTGACGTAAAATACGAATCACTTCACGTGAACAGAATACATCGAGTGTTGACGTTAAGCGTGGATTACTTCATGTGAGCAGAATCAAACGTGTGTTTTTGATGTAAAACATGGACCGTTTCATGCAAACAGAATTCACCGAATGTTGATGTAAAGTGTGAACTACTTCACGTGTAACGGAAATATACGGGAATAAAACACTGGAAGGTTGAAAAAGTTATGAAATAAATTGAATGATAGCAAAAAAGTGCAAATACTTTATTACTATAAGGGAATATATTGATTTAAATTGAAAAGTTAATTTAAGTTCAAAAATCAATATAATTCTGAGTGATCGATTGATTTGATGATAGCAAAGACTGGAATGATTCGAATTAGTATTAAAAGAAACTGAAAATACCAATTCCATTCAAGTTATCATTTAGGAAATGATTAAAAATGATTGCTTCACCTCATTAGTGATTATATCATTAGTGAATTCGGCTAATTTTGGATCAAAATTTCCCCATCGTTCCTTTGGCATAAGCATTGTCAAATGTTCATTCATGAAACATTTCCAATCATATGACATACATAAGTCGGTAAAACCAACTTCATATGCTATATTATTGTGTGTGACTGATATTGTAACATTATGAATAATATACTGAAAAAAATCAAAATTTTACTGATTAACCAGTCTAAATTTACTTCAATCAATTTATCTACTCATTTAATATTGATTAAAGTATATCATTGATAGTGATCATAATCATTATATCATATTGTGACAGTGCTATGATTATTAATTATTCGAGCTTTTATGATGATATATTTTTGTGAAAAGACAAATATGTAAATTGGTAATAATATACAAATTCCTTTCATTGATTACTAGTTCAAATGACCTATATAAAGGAATTAATTTGTACCAACATTGGGAAATCATTAATTGAAATACCTGATTGATCCGTTCTAATTCATCTAAATACTTCAACACCAGCATATTTGGTCGGCCAAATTTGGGATGCTTTATTCCGGCTGCTATAATATCCACATATCCTGTATAGTCGTAACTTTTTCCGGGCCAAAATTCCTGTTCATTTAAAGGCCAGTGCTCACTTAGCACTTTTTTCTCGTAACGCCATTGCGCATTTTCTGGTGAGAAAACATATTCCGGATCAATTGTTGTCTGTAAAAGTTCAAAAATTCCTTTTTAATTTGTTACAAGTCATTGGCTAAAGAATCATTCTAACCTATTCCCGGATAAGTTCATAGTCAAGTTTGATTATAAACATACTTGGAAAAAGTGGAAATTTTCAGCTGACCTTACGTAGTTGGCCTGACTAGCCTCAACTGATGACTAATCATGATTATAATTTGTCTTAAGTTACTTTAGCTAAAATTGAAGCAAAAGGCAAGCAGTTGAAATTAAAAGATGCTCTTTTCCTTATCACTTAATTGTTGTTTGTTAAGTCTTTATTAGGCAGAAAAAAAGAGAAAAGTTTACCTGTTCTTTGATAAACAAAAATCCAAAGCCAAGTGCTATTGTCAACAAGATTGGCCCAATAAATAAAATGAGTCGCCAGCGATAAGCAATGGAACCCCAACGATAAAATAATTGTTGTATGAGATTATCAAAAGATAGCATTTATCAGCTTATCTAAATCTTATATCTTCAATTTGAAAAACGATATGAATGATATTATCACAATGATCTAATTATTGCTACCACCATGATAAAGATAATTTTAGAATATCATCGAAAGAGGAAAATTGCAACTTTGGGAATAAATAAATTTCGAAAATGTGGAATTTAAATGTTTTGATTATCGAAGATGGAGGAAACATTGAAAATGTCACTACACGAAATCCATTTGTACATCGGCGGAATTATCCGTCACATACCATCTCCATCGAAGTGTCGGTGACAAATGCAATGACAAAGAGAAACGATAACGATGGCAGTGATGTGGATAATTGCATTGAAGGAGAAAATTCGGCGAAAAGAAAAAAAAGAGTCCTCTTTCCTCTAGCAATTGAGCAGAACATGAAAAGTTATCACTGCCATATCTACAAATATCATAAAGTACTACAGACATCACTAATGATATCATCATTAACATTAGTGCTGCCATATCATTCACCACTCCTTCATAACTTTTAATTGAAACTAATTATTATAGTATCGGGAAAGCTAATCTGTTGAATTCGTTATTCAATGATATAGATTCGGGATGCAATATTGTTCCTGCACAATATTACTAGTTAACAATGAAAAAAAAGGTATAAGATATATATACATATTACACGATGAATTGGTAAGCAATGATAAATGAGTTAAACAATAAGCAACAAATATGATCAGCTAACAAATTCTTTGTCGTCGTCTTTGATAATGACTTTCGGTTATTTGACAGGTCGTTGAGTTGGAGATATGTTACGGAAAATGTATTTAGCAAATACTAAGAATATCGTAGTTTGTTGTCCAGCGGTGGCGGATATGTGAAGATGTCGTTGTTTGTGGTTCAGTGGTGAAGAATATGCGAAGAGGATGCATTGTCTGCTCGATTATAAAAACTAAAGTGTTTCGGATTTTTCCTTATTTACATAAAGATTAGGGAGGAATTTTGTAAGCTCCATCGGATTTATCTTGGAGGTATGACAGGTATAGGTGGCCTTTGACATTGTCCATTGTGTAGATACTAAGACGTCTTTGTGTTATGCTGTCCATTGTTAGCTTATATTCTTTTTATTGCTTTAATTTTAGATTTTATCACTCTATTAGATATTGTGGGAATTTTATTTGAAGATTTTATTTGAATATAATTTCGGTAAATAGACACATTACCAACTGTTTTATTTGAATGCTTGATAATAAATTTAAGAAGTTTCACTTGCATATAAATGAAAATTTAGGAATGTCTTAGATCGAAATTTTGGATCTGAAATGTTTTGGGTCGAAATTTTGTATCTGAAATGTTTTGGTTCGAAATTTAGGATTTGAAATGTTTTGGGTCGAGATTTAGGATCGGAAAAATCTTATTCAATACTCAAGGAGCAAGTAAGTGTAGCGAATATTGATAGGGTTCGTTTGAGAGGGTGATGTCGAAGAAGAGACAACTACTGCCAACGATATAATGCGAGTTGTAGTAGCGTTAAGTTGAATTGAGTTGATTCAGGTACGATGATTTGAGTTGAGTTGTAC